GAGTTGCTTGCCGACAAAGTTTTCTATAAGTTTTCCTACAAGTGGAAGGATGGATATTGGCCTGTAATTATTAGGATCATCTTTCATTCCTGCCTTATGGATGGGAGTTACTCTAGCTTTTTTACAAAGGGTTGGTACAACACCTGTATTAAGGCTCAAATTGACAATATGGGTCAGTGGCTCAACTATGTGTGGTACAGCTTGCTTAAGTAAAAATAGAGGCACATCGTCATATGAGGCCTTGTCATTCTTGAGCGTTTCGACATACATTAGGATATCAGTTTCATTTATTTCTTGGAATCTATCAAATGAGATGTTAGAAGTTCTAGGAGGTAAAAAATCAGTAAAACTAACTCTTTCAATATTGGGGGCCTGATTTTGTAATCTTGATCCAACATTTGCAAAATGAAAGTTAAATAGCTCAGGATCATTCTCATTGATAGTTTGACAATTAGTTGTACCAGGGGTCATATTTGATGCCAGTTTGATAGTTTTCCATATCCCTTTAAGATCATTCTTGGCACTTTTAACTTGTAGATCATCGATTACATTAGCCTTTTTGCAGGTTTTAGCTAATTTATTTCTAATATTTCTCTGAATCTTGTAGCAATCCCAGGCCTCATTACACTTTATACATTTGCTACATGTACCACATTTATTGCAATTTCCATTGTCTCTCTTATCCTTCTTTTTACGGAATTTCTTTAGAAGAAAATGTGTATGATTAATGGCATTTAAAAGTTCAGTAGAAGGTTTATGTATGAACTTTTCATGCCTTTCTATGGTCTTGCAAGGGAAGAAGGTTGCATATGCCTGTTCAATATGATGACAAAGGCCAGCAGTGATAGCTTCAACATCTGTACTTTCCAATAGTGGACTGTAATCAGAACAGGTATCTAGATAGTCTAAGAATTGTTTAACATTACGTTTACAATGATTTCTAATTTCAACCTTTTCAAATTTAGGAGCTATAGGTACTTTACAATCTATCTCACACATAATAGCTTGATGATCCCCAATACGTTCATCAAGAACAGAAGATTGAACAAAATCTGCATAACAGTTAGTGAATATTACATCAATAGTAGTCTGGGTAAAATTGTCTCCACGTTTAGCAACTCTAGTTATCCCTTGAATGGTTTGAACTAGATTGTAACATCTCAAGGTCATATCTAATTTTTTTCCCTGCTCTTGCCGAAGGCAAAAAGATCGTAGGGAATAAGTAATGGGGTTTGGATATATGAGGTGGCCCGACGGTCCTACGGTGATGACAAAAGTCTGCTCCTTCGCAATATAGACCACTCCCCTATAATTATGTGTATAAAAGGAGGCAATTTTGCGCGCGCGACGCCAGCTATGTGTTAATTAATTACAGGCATAGCAACCAGTTTTAGGTGCTTGACGACTGTTACACAGGTTTCCATCGGGTTGCAATTTACTCTAATTCATTAATATAGCATATTAGTCATCTGAGCGGATCAATCATCAATACAAGTGTTTAGTTATTTTGTTGAAACAAGCTTAATAAATTACCGAGTGATAAAATTCAGCAAGTCGAAACAAATTAAATTATTATATCAACTGATAAACTCGTGGCTGATTATTTAACAGTTTATCGAAACTGAATGGTAAAAAGCGATTACATATTTAAGAACAGATGTTACTTTACATTTACATTCAAGAAGCAACTAAGATCAAGATTGCGGTATAGTATGCTTTTAAAGAATCCTATATAGTCGATGGTGCTGTAGATGTGTCGAGTAAGCATCAACATGTATTAGTTTATGTTAGATACAAATAATAACTAAGATTAGACAGAATATTTTATTACAGTCAATAAAGTTGGCATACGATGCAGTATAAATATGACGTGACATGATCATACGCATCGTTAACAGTAACACGAAACAAAACCGCGCAACATATGAAATGATCTACAACCAAACCACATATAGAATATAGATCGACGGCGACACCTAAGATGCGCGCAGAATTTTCAAGTTCTGCACGCCTAATATAATGAAAACGATTATCACGTGCGCCAAACACCACTCTGGGATACAAGTAGAACAATTACATTGTAGGCAGTAGGGAAATTTAATCGTGCGTGGTGTTACCGCGGCGAAATTCTTGTTTGTACTGGGTGGATGAGATATTATTCTGGTCAATGTTTATATCCCCAATCCAGATAACCTTTTTCCCATTCAATTTTTTCATGCAAAAATGAATGTATTCAATAAAGTTATCAACACTGCAATAATTTCCAGAGCGATAGAAGCAGCAAACATTGATCTTGCTATTCTTAAGCTTCACCCATAATGCTTCAATGTTATCAAGCTTACTATCCATAATTAATTCTGTGTAAGCTAGTTTTTTGTTTATCATTAAGCCACAACCACCCCTAGAACTGTTTGGCCTGTCGCATCGCATAAGGTTGAAGGAGGAAGGAATATTTATGGTGTCTGTGTCAATAGTTTCCTTAAGATTCATCTCATTTAGGGAAAGTATGTCTAATTTATGATCTCTAATAAGTTGGGAAAGTTCATTACTTTTACCTAAATTAAGAAGCCCTCCTTGAATGTTACAATGACCAATGCAGAGGTTGTGAAACCTATCAGCTGCATTATTAAAATTTGTCATCTTGTAAATCTTATTAATTCACAATGGAATGAATAAAAGTTGTAAAGTTGTGTTTAAACTGAAAAACAGAATAAAAGCAGGTTGTATTTGTCTGGATGTCGTACTGTAAAAATAAAACTGATGGTAGGAGTGTTATGTCAGTATTCAGCAGTATTCTAATGGTGTGCATGATACTTCAAGTGCCTTGCTAATTTAACTATGCCATAATCATTGAGATGGACATTATCCTCTCCATAACTACTAAAAAATGACGATTTTCTAAAGCCTTTCTTATCACTAAACAAGAAACGATTTGTCTCGGTTGAGAGCAGTTTTACATAGGTGTATTTTCTTTGCAGATTTGATATACATTCATTGATATCTGTTATAACCTTGTTTCTGGAGAAACTCTCCCGAGGTAATAAGTTAACAATTTTAATATCAGCTCCAGGTGCCCACTTGTGAAGGAAAAGTACAAGTTTTTCAATACAATTGTTTGTAAAGTCAAGAGCTCTAGCATCACCAGAAAAACTATCAGGGCACAGAAGTTTAGTTCTCATGTTGCGAGGGCTGTTCAGGATAGAGTCCACGTCATTTGTACCACACATAAGTACAATGCTTTTCACATTATTGGTATTAAGAGTGTCTTTTCTTACATCTGATTGAAACCGTTCATTGATTGCATTGGCTGTGGCACCAGGGTAGCTGAATACATGTGCCTCATGATGTTTGGACGATAGCTTTTCTCCCTCTAATTTGGAGAACATACTAGAGCTAATGTAGACACACAAAGATTTACCAGAATGTTCTATTGATCTAGTCTTAGGGGCCGAGGGTTCAGTGTTCTTAACTTGACTGGAAACATCAGACAGAGTAGATAAGGTTGCGCTGCCATCAATTAGGCGCAGAGTAATGCTTATTCTCATGGTTTTAGACTTGTCCTGGATGAGGCTGTGTTCAAAGCTGGTCTGGGATTGTCTGGTCATATTCATTATGTCACCATGGGAGAGGGTAAGGTCAGCAATATGAGCTCTAAGTTTGGACCTGAAGCTTAGGACTCTAGTAGCCCCTAAAGAGATGGTGGAGATCATGGAGCCTGGCGAAATTGACCTCTCGTCATCCGAGTGAAAGGGAATTCCTTGCTGACCATTTCTATACTTGGTAATCATAGCACTATTGAATTTCAACTTTGGGAACTGTGAGCGTAAGTGTTCTAAAATAGACTTTAGGTAGGGATTGTCTGCTACTGGCCTTGTGTTATGAAAGCCTCCATTGTAAGCGTATGGAAAGTCCCCATAATATGCAACTGTCCTATTCTCAAACTCATGAGTATAGTGGGTTTCTATATCTAACTTGGCAGTGTCAACAAACTGAAAAACTCCTGGACTCAAATCTTGGTATGGATTGATAGAGTTGGTCACACCATTGACACCATTTACAGAGTGTTTGGGATTTTCCGAATTGATAATTTCTGCTGAATGTTCACTGTCTTCTGCTAATTTGGATAGCTCTTGGTTTAACTCAGAAACAAGATGCGAGGATGAGCTATTACTGAGGGGAACATTGATAGAATTTTCACAGTGATCAGGTACCTGGGGCAACACAGGGATAAGTGAACCACCGCTGAGGGGAACTTTGAGTGCACTGTCACTTTCTGATAATTGTTTATAGAGAATAGAAATTTGACGACGAAGACTATCATTCTCTCTTAATAGAGTTAAGCAATTTGAACATTTATCAGTAGGACGAGAGCCGTTACTGGGGAATTTAACAGAATTCCCTCGATATCTCAGATTGTAATCTCTTGAGCCAACTGGTATTCCAGACATAGTTTATCACAAAAAGATGCTACTGTTCGAAATTTAGTTAATGATTACAGTACCTTTGTAGCACTCCGGAGGATAAGGATAAGTGATGTCTGATAATCTTTAGGTGATAGATGGGAGTAAACTGCTTTAAAAATCGATGTCAGATCGGGTTTACAGATAGGGTCACAGGTGACAGTATAGAACCAAATTCATTCGTTGGGTCTCTTTTGAGTAGTTGACCATGGAGACTTGATAAGGATGTTGTTGTTTAGTCGTTGTTGTTGTTGATCAAAATGTTTGCCGAAGTCTGATAAAATCAATTTTCTTTACATTGCATGATGTGGACTGATCTTGTAAGGTAATTTAAGGCACCTAACCTAACAAGCTCGACACTGTTGAAATTTGTGTGCCACGTCTACTTTACTTTGCCAGTTCATGAACTGGGTGTGCACCAGGCTTTTTGGATACAGCGTGATTTTATATAAACTCTTTCTCTAGCCAGTTGAGTTGATATCAGTTGATCATATTTCTATGTGCTTAGATTTATGTGTAATGCTCTTCATTTATAAACGAAATTAACATCAGGTAGGTAGTCATTAATTATGTTAAAACAGGGCCAGCTCACCACAGAAATGAGGTATGTTATGCACCAAGTATTAATCAGCATTCCTAGTTTGGTCATTTTTGTTGTAATTTATTTCAGTTAATTGTTAAATCTTAACAGTTAATAGTAAATCTTTCATTTTGTACTTTTTGATGGCTTCTAAATTTATTTATTGCAAATTGTAATGCAATGTCACTGATGTTTTCATTTCAGCCCAACAAAGCGGATAAAAAGCTGTCAGACACCAAATGCAGGTTATCTTAACAACTTATTAATCTTTTAGATAAGATTAAGTATTCAATTATGTTTTCATAGTGTATCCATGTGACAATGTCAATAGCTCACACTTTTAAAGTACAGGATATCAAGTCAACTCTCAAACTTTACCCAAATTATTTACGATATTTTTTGTGTATTTAACAGAAAAGCTTAAATCCCAATTTTTAATCCAGCTGGTGCCAACATTACTTTCTTTCAGTTCATGCTTTGTCAACACCAGCGAGCTTCTCCAAAGGGGGGATTTCCTCTGGCATTCCTCCTTTGAACTGGGATGAATCAATGTTGGTAACTTTCAAATAATGATTGATTCTGATTCAGGCAACATCTCACATATATTTGAGAAGCTGATTTGATTTGTTATGTTGATGCCAAGCTGCAGTGAACTTTAACCTGGATTTAAAATTTAAAGTTTTATAAATAATTCCGATTTAATTCAGGATAGGAGACAGCCTAATCAACAAGTCGGATGAAAACAAAGAACCCCAAAAAGTCAGTGCCAGCGTTAGGAAGTCCAGGAGAAAACCAGGTATACAACTAGAATATTGAAGAGAGAAATTTGATGTAGATGAGTGTCATTAAAAATCATTTTAATTGTTATAATTGTTTCTGATATGATTCTTTGTTGAAAATTAATCATTCACAGTTCCTATAAAATCAAAGTACTTGCAAAGTGCTGCAAAGAGGAAGACTCCTGCGGTGGGTAAGACTCCCAGCACTATTGGACAAACACCAGCTGCCAACAATTTATCAAATCGGCAAAAGATAGAAGAGGTTTGTCTTTATTTTCCATCGAAATCTGAGGCAAACACCAACTTCTAACAGTTTCTATTCTCATCTACCATTAAAACGTTGGTGCGATTAATTGTTTTCTTTTAAAAAAACTAAAGATGAATGAAAAATCAACATTATACCTCAATAAGCAGACGTAGACACTTAGAAGAAAACAGTTAATCACCCTCTTTTAATATCTCATTCATTTATTCCGTTTAATTTGCAGCACGATTTTGCAGCTATCATGATCACTATATTTCAATAATCAGAATACAGTTCCATGGCTATCTAATGATTATTGATCAATCAGTGTTGTTGAAAAGTAAATGATTTCAGAATCCCAGCACTCCACATCGTGTCACTCACACACTCTCTTCATTTGTTAGAAGACAGGTAACATCTCCTCACTGGAGGATCCTAGGCAGCATGTACTAAATGTCAATACAACGTTGTAAAACTGACACTGTCCACCAACTTCAATCGTAATGAAGTCAGGATGAAGCGTTAGTATTGACACTTAGTACCTTTGCTAAGGTCCCTTGTTTCACTAGTTGGTATATAAACTCACACTTTTAAAACAGTTTATGTGTAGAAGTTTCTTGACGTCGTTCCGGAAAATTCTACAGGGTGACCCGAGAGTCTCGAAACAAACGTTTCAATGTTAAAACTCAGTCACTGATGACCAGATTTGGATAACTCTTTGTGATATGACTAATTGCTTTCATCGCTCAATCGAGAAATGAACGTTAGGAGATAACACATGTGGTGAATTAATGGTTTTAGTAAATTCTGTATGGAATGACATCAATTAATTCACTAATTATCTATGAAAATGTCTCACAATTTTTCATCTTCAGCTGAATCGAGAAGACACGTTCACATTCGAAAAGAAGGAACCGACCCCAAAACCGACCTCTAAGACCACTCGACCCGTCACCCCAAAAACAGCCTCGAGACCCACTATTAAACAGTCTATCGGCGGTAGTGAGAGGAAGGCTCTGAGGATGGTTTCTAAGGAGATATCAGCTACTCCCAAGTTTGCAAGGAAAACTGTTCAGAGCTCTAACGAGTAAGAATTACTTCTAGCTCGTACTCTCTTGCACCTTTCGAAAACATTATAGACAGATTGCTGGCATTTTTCAGTTGATTATATTGCTCGTTTGCTGTTCACAATACTTTTCTAAGATCAGGATGGGGTCGACTGTAGGCTTAAATCTTTGCATGTATGCACAATTTTACACCTGCAATTTGAAGCATGTTTCTGTGAACTAATCGTGATATTCAAGTTTGTTTAGCTACTCAAGTGAGGAGAACAAATCAATTGGAAGTAGAGTTGAAACGGAAGTGCAACCCAATGCATCGACCGACAACAAGACAAAAGAAGTATCCGAGACGGATCTACATATTTTAGAGCACCAGAAACTTCAAATGCTCTATATCTTGGTACGTTACTAGTTTTCTTTTTAATTTCATCACTTTTTACTTGACTACCGCAACCGTGCATTGTTGATCTTTATCCTACATCGTTCTTTTCTCTGCTTCTCTCGCCTTTGTCACTTCTCACAAACACTGAAAAATCCGTAAGTTAATATTTTCACTGTTAGTTTCAACTTAAAACTCGAGCATTATACTTGATATGGAGTACTCAGAGCATTTCTTTGTAAATGACATTAACCTGGAAGCCCATATACCTTGAGTAGTTTTATATTCTGACCTCGCACAGAGTAAATTGGACACTACACAAGAAGCCCTCTCAAACGAAGCCAGCCGCCAAATGTACCAGATGTGGAAAGTTCAGGAGAACATGCGGTCTGAGTACCATACTCTGGAGGTAGAGTGTTTGGTGAAGGAGTATATCTGTGAGGTGAACGATATCTGTGAAAATCTTGTGAGTCATTCTTAAGATTGATGCTGAGATACTTTTTCATTCAAAATACGGTATCTTCTAAATTTTTCACTCAACTTACTAGAAAATACTTTATGTAACATTTTAAATTTTTGGAAGCATTCAATATTCAGTATTCACATATCTGAATGATGAAGTATGAACCCAAAAAGTTAGTAAAACCCTACATTAATGTTGAATACCGACATAACTGACTATTCCTCAGTTACCAGTTTGTTCAGAGTTGATGGAGTCACTGCCCAAGTTTGATAAACAGTTTGTCACCTTGTGCAGCATGTTAGATAGTACCCGACATCACATGACTACCGTCAACATTGCCAGGTTATTATTACGTTTTACTTTGTTTTACTTATGTGTAAAGTATTGTTGTGTAATGTGTAATGTGTAAAGTATTGTTGTGTAATGTGTTATGTATTGTTGTGTAATGTATTGTTGTGTAATGCGTAAAGTATTGTTGTGTAATGTGTAAAGTATTGTACCATAGTTAATATCTGTATTAATATCAAAACCGGTTGTAAACCTTACATTCTTCCCATTCTTAAATGTTTCTACATTTCTCCGCACATGTAAACTCTACACGAAATGTCAGTAAATACACTATCTATATACTCTTATATTTGATCCTTCGAACAGCTGTTGAGCAATGAAACGCAAACATAATCTTAGCAAAATGAATATATTTCTTTTATCTTCAGCATTTAATCAGTCACATAATCTGAGAATATCAATGGTTAGTTTGAAAATGTCAAAAATTCTCATCAAAAATGTAGTAAAGTCTCAAAAAATTAATTTAGCATCTCGTAAAAATGGAATAGTTTAAAATCGGAACAAAATTAATCGCATATACTATAATAATGTGGAGTCTGCAGTAGTTCATTAAATCAAAAAGACGCAATTCAAAAATTGATAGACTGCATATATAAACAAAAAATGGACGATTTAAAAATAAAATTCGGGACACCATGAAAAATTAACTTCCAGAAACGGAATTCACATTGTTCAGGCCAAACGGATAAAGTGTCTTCAATTTGTTAATATAAAACTGTTCTGACTTTCTAATATTATCTGGGGATGTAGAACACAAAATATCAAAATGGAAACTTTCATTGAAAACAGATCTCTCCCTCAAATTATGAACTGAAAAAAGATGTGCCCCTAAAACATTCTCGTCATCAAAATCTCTGTGGCTCTCAACATTCCCCTTACTACTCGCCTCTAAAATCTCATAATATTTACTGCGATGACCATTCACACGTTGGCTGAGGCTGGTGACTGTTTTTCCCACGTATACGTTATTAACAGTACAAAGTTTGCATGTCGCGCCGTACACAATGTTGCGTGTCTTACAGTTACCACCTTGAGTTCTGACTGAGTGTCCATTATTGGAGACCATGGAATTGCCACTAACAAGGTGACAAGTTTGGCAGGGTCTGCCTTTCTTCTTCTCACCAGGTTTGGTGCATGGGTCAGTTGTTCTTGACTCTGAACCTAAGGCAAGCTTCTTTCTCTTGAATAAAGTGTCCTTTAAGTTAGGGGCTCGCCTGGTCACCACTTGGAGTTTAGGGATCCTTTCAGGGTTCTCACTGCTCCATGTACGGCTATTTGAGATGATGTTACTGGCCTCTTTAGCCTTTTCCTTGGTTTCCTCATAGCCCGCACCGAATGTAACAATCCATGGTGTGAAAGAAGGGGGACCCTGATCCTTTGCCTTGTACTGTAAAGTTCTTGGTATCGATCTGACATCACTGATGACCTCTCTCACCATATCAGTAGGATATGAAGACCGTTCAAAAAACAACTGAAGCTCTGCCAATCTCTCATCCAGCAAGACGTCATCATTGATTATCCTTCTGTATCGAAGTGCCTGTGAGAAGACTATACTCCGGAAGGTATGTCGTGGATGGAAACTTGAGAATTCTAGATACCTGTTGGCGTCAGTAGGTTTCCTAAACAGATCTGTTGTGAGTCTCCCTCCAACAAACTTGTACTGAATGTCCAGGAACTGAGTGAACTCCGTGATTGGTTTCACTCCGTATGTAATATCTAAGCCATAGTTATCAACCATCTTACTGCGTAATGACCCTACCCATTCTTCAAAACCAATCATAGAACCTCTCCACATACCTTGGCCCGAAATATCATCCACAAACCGATCAAGGTTCTTGAGCTCCTCTGGTCTAACAACCGGGTCGTAAACCAGACTCTTTAGGACAAAGAACAAAGCAATGTTACCGCAATCCACTGAATTGATACCTCCAGTGGGTACACCGTTAACGACCTCATACCAGTTGTCTGCATTCTTCAAGACTGCCGAATCAAAACTAAGCTGTATCAGTCCCTTCAGCCAAGTCCTGAACTCCTCAGACCAATCTGGTCTACACGACTCCATAGCATCATCTAAGGCTGACATCACCAAGCTATGTTGCAGAGAATCGTATAGAGAAACAATATCAATACTGAAGCTGATCCAAGTATCGACTACTTGTCCGGAAGCTGCCAATTCCTCGAGTTTTATGAGAGCTGCAGTTGAATCTTTAACAAGATCTATACAGTAATCCCTGGCAAGAGGTCCCAACCACTTCCAAACAACAAACTTATCTGATCTTGCAGTTACTCCTCTAGAGAGATCAGTCACGAATCGACTGGGTGGAATCTTTTTCTCTCTAATTTCAGTCTCAGTCAGCTTGTGAATTTTCAGTAATGGGTAACCATACGGAATATCGGGCTTGACTAGATCTGAAGTGCTCTGTGAAAGAGTGTCCCGATCAGACTTCTGAATCAAACCAACCACACAATTAGACTGTTCACCACTTACATACTTCCGCTCCAAACCAGATGACCACAGCTCTAACAACCTCCCTCTCAAAGATCCAGTAGGATCAGTTTGCAAAGGTCTGTATCTCAAAGGGTCCTCAACTTTGGCAGAAGTGATATCCTTGATTATCTGAGGGGTGACAATGATTATCGCACCGCCCTTATCAGCCGATGTTATGGCTATTAAGCCATCCTTGACAGCCTTCTTCAACCACATATACCCTTCACTCTCATAGCGGTTCATATTAGATTCAAGTTTTCTGGGCTTGAAGTTGTCTACAAAATTGACAATGTTGTCTTTTGCAGACTTGATGGCTGGGTCTTCAAAAGAAGTACAAGGAGCTGTTACTGGTTTCTTCAGTAGCTCCATAGGAACTTCGTTATCCCGTGCTGAGTTCTTAAAAACAGCTTTCCATGCTTGTTTGTTGGCAGCATTGTACCCATCTACTTTGAACTGCATCTCATCAAAATCCGGGCAGGGTATCCATCCAGGACCATACGAAAGGACCGCAATGCTATAATCCGGAATATCAATGTCTGTCAGGTTAACAACAAGATTTCTCTCAAGAGCTTCCTTGGCTTTCTTCCTCATTGCCTGCTCTTTCTTCCTGTTCTTCCTGGCTTTTGCTTTGAGCTTTCTCTTGAGCTTCTTAGCTGTGACCTTCCTTGTAAACTGATTCACTGAAACTGCTACTACCTTCTTCTTAGGCTTCCATTCTGAAAATTTAGTGCCATCACACTCCTCTAAAAATTTCATCTTCTTTAAAAGCTTCTTCTGTTGGATGTGAAGCAACTTGCTATCTTTGATAAGTTCAGGAGAGTCAGGATAATCTCTCTGAATATCAGCAATCTGTTTCTTCAAGATGTTAATCTGCCTTGACTTGTTCTCGATAGCACGGAGGGTTGCTTTTGTTTCCACCTCCTGGAGGAGCGCACGAGCCTGTTCCTCAGGGAGAGCTTTCAAGCCACTGGCCCTTAAGGATTGGACAGGGCGCTTGGTCAACAGGCATTTCCGCAGAAGACTTCTATATACTGTGTATATACATATATCGCTATTTTGTAGAGATGGTTGGTGTTTGATTTATAATGTACTAGACATTACTGGTGTTGTGCGAGTTGTGTTGACAGGGGCGGGGCACGGAACGTTCTAGAAAATTGCAAGATCACGGATAAATGATAGTGTTATTGACCGGTTATCATAGTTCATGAAGTGTACCTTGTACCAATAATTGACGGGTGGGTCTGGAGTGCATGACTTTAAATCAGCAGTGAACACTGAACATGTCTGTAAAGATGGAATAATAACTTATTTAATTGTTCAGGTTAAACGACCAGCAAGTTCAGGAACTTCAATCTTCGTTAAAGCAAGTTCTAGAACTACTGAAGTCTATTTGCTGCGAAGTTTCAGACGAGAAAGGTAAAGGTCTCACTAGTATAATACAGCTGGATGTCGTTATATTATGGTGACACTGCCCTAATTCCCATCTTTTCACTGCACTTTACCTCCTGGATTGATTAATTTACACAATGAATTCTATTTTTAGACTTTAAGAATCCTGTCAAATTCGTTACAGTGCAATTTCTATTACAGAGAACATTCTGGAAAACGCACAAGAGCTCGCCCTTCTGAAGACTTGTTTCGAGGAGTCGTGCCAACAATACGAGAAGGCCTCTCGACTTGCTCGCCAGATTAAAGTTACTACCGATGAGAACTTGTTCTTAACTTCTACCTTCAGTAAGCTTGACCTCAAGGCTGATTTAGGGGAGGATCCCTGAACAGTGAAATCAGTATACACTATATACACTAGTGTACACTATACGGCAGATATAATATGACAAGTTGGGGGGGGGGGGGGGGCAAAGTTTATATTTTGTAATGATAGAATCTGTACAATCAGTAGTGACTAGTGAATGATGAGGTATGCAGACTTTGAACAATGAACATGTTTAGGACGTCGTTGTTCTTATGTTATTTCTGACTACGAATGTCTGTCCTGTTTATAGAATTTACTGCGAAATGTTTTCTATTACAGTTGTTGACTTGGGGTCAAGGGTTATTTTTTGGTTTGATATTTTGTAAAACCATTGGTTTTTTTGTTGATTGTATTTATGACTTAACATAATATTTATGCGTTCATTGTTGTAAATGTTAGAAATAGAACGTTTTAAAATTTTAACCTGTAAATATTTATCTTAATCAAAATTATTATGTATCATTACTCATTAGTACAGTATACATACTTCTGTTGACAATAGCGTACTTATTGATCTATCCAATCTTCTGCAGAATTTCTTCTGAAAATATGCCCCAACAAAAGAGCATGTATAATACTACAAGTTAATATTAAGTTACAAATGACTATAATCACACATACCGTAGAACATATTATATTGCAACCATAATCACAATCTCATAATTTATTTTGCAGACATGATTGAAACAGAAGATATCCGTTTATCCCAAGAGCGTCTCGCCGCGCTAAAAGAGCTCATCACACCCATCAAAGATCTGGCTAAGAACTGGAATGTCGACATAAACTTAGAGCTGGAAAAGTACATGTCAACATTTGAGCTAGATGTCAATCATGCAGATAACTTTGCAGAGGCAGCTCTTGTCATTCAGGGTAGTGCTGGGGTATGGAGCAAGAAGGTGGAATTTCTATACTCACTGGCTGTAGACTCCTTAGGAATGTTGGAAGAAAAGGAGAAGAAAGTAAGAGGAAAGGGAGGAGGTGATGATGACAATGATGACAGTGATGAAGAAGAAATGATGACACTGATGCCTGTCGTCATCAAAAGAGCTGCCCACGTTCAGGTTGATCTCTGCTCTCTGGCTCGATCTGAACATTTCAAACGTCGGGTACCTCTCTTTCTGTCTGCAATATCAGTTAAAAATGACAAGCCCGAAAACTTGCTCTACAACAAAAAGGGAGAACTTTTAGCCAGCAGAGACGATTTTGCCATAAACAACTGTATCATCAACAAGTCGGGGTTTGCTTCCCTTGACATCCAGACATGCTTACTCTTAAACCAGTCAAACAAGAAAACTGACATATTAACTCCTTTTTTCAAACGTCATGTTTCACAGTTTGATGGCTTTGTTAATCAGAGAAATTCTAATCCTCAGTCAATAAACCCTGCCGCAGCAGTTGATGAAGTTATGGATACCCAGCCAGGAGATGGTAACCCTGTTGATGAGGGTCCACAAAATCTTTTAGAGGATGATGATGAGCTAGATCCTGGAGGAGCTCTTGATCTCTGTGATGATGAGACAGATCACGAGGTGTCTGGTTTTCCCGAGATTAATGCTGTTAATCACAGTAACCTTAAGCTTAATGAACCTAAAACTCCACAACCGTCACATTCCATGCAGCTAAGAAATAGTATTAGCCAGGTTACTGCACCACAAGAAAAGACAGTAGAAAGTAAGATTACAAAAACATTGGATCCCTACTCGGAGTTGCCTGTCAAACCCTTTAAAAAAGCGATCATTGAAAAGCCGAAAGTTTCTCGAAAGCGTAAGAAAGAAAACGCTCCAAAGACATCTCTTATGGCATTACTTCAATCATCTCACAAAGCTATGAGTAAAAATGCTCGATTTCCTAACTTATTACGCAAACCTGAATTTTCTGAAAACACTGAACTTTTTAAGAATTTGAAATCAAAAGAAGTAAAATCAAATAGACTGATTCGTAAGAAACTAGCTGCAGCATCTCAAAACCAGCCGTTGCCTGGTGACCTACTGAAACCTCCACTACCGGCAGAATCCCCTGATCTTGACTCTGATGATCCTGGCCCTGAGCCAGATGATGACTTCTGTGGAACTATCTCAGAGAATCCCAATATGGAAGAAGACCCTCTGATCGATCTTGAGACATCACATTTAGAAACACTTGAGGCAAGCCAACAAGAAGCCCTGAAACCACAGATTGTACAGCCATCTTACGAGGACATGGTGAAGGAACATGTAATGAAGTACACATCCGAAGCCAGGAACCATTTCCACGTGTCTGAGTTACGAGGAAGGGTGTTAGAGTGGGAGAATAAGATTACCCCCATTCTCGATGAAGAAGCAAAAAATAGTGAATTTAATGTCTGTGATTACAGCAACAAACTTCTTGACAAACTAGCCTTATGCCCAAAAGAAACTACTCAGTTCAAGAATTTGGTCTCGGGGGAAAGAAAAGGAGAAGTGAGCAGACTCTTCTTAACTTCCCTCATGCTTTCAAACAGTGGCAATATCCAGCTAAAAGGAGATGACGATAAAGCAGAGTGTAAACTACTTTCCAGAAAATTGTTCAGTGATGTTTTGGAGGGTTATGTTGCATCTGCTAGCGAAGAAATTCCAACAACCTCGTCAAAGAGAAAACGAAAGAATGCTCCTTCCTGAATTTTTTTTTCAATCACTAGATTAAATTTTTTTTTTTGAATATGTTTTGTTAATTTATTCGGCTAGTATGATTTTTAGTACTGACATTGATTATTGACATGCAGTTAAATTTTGTTGTTATGTAATTATAATTACAATGTATTATTATATTGTTTTCAATTTCATTTTACGCCTAGAATTTACGGAAACCAGATCTTTCATAAAACCCACTTATATGAGGAATGAAATATAATCAATATGCATTATATTTTTAATTGTTATCTTGTCTTATTGTATATTATGATATTGAATTTTACAGCTTTTTAAAATTGTGAAATATTACAAATTATGCCAATTTTTATTTCGAAATGTGTCCCACTCGACTTAATAGCAAATATCATTTCGATATAGGAATTCTCATTAAAGAGCGGCAATTTAAACGCAAGGACTAACTAACTTTAGTCAGATGATATGACGACTAATTCCATGCATTAGTTGTACAACTTAAAGTTCGTTTTTCCTTGCGTTAAATTTGATATCACTCTTATCTCTGTACACACTGTACGATTCTGATATAATAATAACATTATATTGAAACTGTTATTAATCTCTTCAACCCCTAATAATGTTTATTTTCAGTTTAGGCTGCCGTTGATGTAATGATAGTGGTTTAGTGACAAGAAATGTAGTCGTCAGCAACATGAGTATGGCAACGTTAGAGATCTCGCAGGACACGAGGCATGGTGCACCAGATGTTATGTTTGGTGATTTTAGTGAAAGCGAGGTGGCATCTATAATTTACAACTCAAAGTTGTTCAACAAACAAGACTCACTTTCGTTTGGTACTTTTAGTGAGGAAGAGATCAATGAGATTTTAGATGCATCTCACGCAGAAAAGAAGTTTGTTGAATTCGATTTTGAAGAGGTAGTTGCTCCTCAAATAACCCCAGAAACGTCTCCAGTAAAAACTGATGAAGTCATCGAGGAGACACCTGAAGAAATCATAAATGGTAACGAGGAAACACCAGTTATCACCTGTCCTCCATCTCCCCCTAAAGATCACCCGATCGTGCTGGACTTTAGTTCATCCCAGCAACTAGCTCCGCAAGTTCCAAACCTGTCCACACCAGAACGCACAGATATTGACGAAGTACTGAAAATCCTAATAGAAGAAACTGTGAAGTCCAGTTCTTTTTCTGCTCCACCCGCCCCAACTCACCAGGCAACCCTGCAATCATCATTCCCATACAGCACTCAGCCGAATACCTGGTCCACTGGTCCTACCGCGCAAGGCTGGCCCAATCCTACCAAGAGTTCCTTCACAACAGATTTTTACTCAGCTCCTCAGAGCACTGAACAGATCTGGTCTAAGCCTCCTGAACCTACATCAGTTTGGTCAAACGGGACTGGCAACCAATGGTCCTCCTTGTTTAAGAACTCTGATCTCAAAGAGGAGGAACCTTCTAAAAACGTTCTTCCCCAGATCCTCTCAGAAAACGTCCCCACCTCAATCAAGGACCACGAGCTCATGATGCTGGGCTCGCAGCTGCAACTCATGACTATTTCCCATCACATGCCTGTTAACATAGTTCCCAGAGGTCTGATAAACAAGTCAACCAACTGTTTTGCTCATGCGCCTCTGCAGGCCCTCCTCGTTTCACCTCTCTACCATGTTATTCAACAGATAGACTCCTCGTACGCCCTCTCGCCCGTCCTCAGTGCTGTAAAGCAGTTCTTCAAAAGTTTTAATCCTGCTCTGGGTGTTGTGGACAAGATGGATCCACCATTTGAGCCCACGTGTATCTACGAGATGCTGAGGAACAAGATGCCTAATTTCAATGAAAATGGTAGACAAGAGGATGCAGAAGAATTCCTGGGAATCATCCTTTCAAACTTACACGATGAAATGGTTTCTGCCATTAGATCAGCTAAAAAAACAGTTTCCTTGGCTGATACAGTTCTCGGTTCCGGTGACGATGGTGAGTGGCAGCAGATTGGGAGAAAAAACAAGATTCAAGTTACACGAAACACATCAAACAACGAGCCCAGCCCTGTCAGCGAGCTGTTTGGAGGTCTAACCAGATCTGTTGTTTCAAAAGCGGGAGCTAAAGAATCGGCCACTCTTCAGCCCTTCCTATCTGTCCAGCTGGACCTGCAGCACCAAAACATCACCTCTGTCAGAGATGCTCTGTGCCACTTCACTCACAAGGAGCAGATATATCTTAACGACGTGAAGTGTTACCGCAGGGAAACACTAGAGTCCTTACCGCCCGTTCTTATCCTCCACTTAAAGAGGTTTATTTTCGATGACGCAGCGAAATCATGCCAGAAACTTCTCAAGGAGATAGACTTTAACATAGACATGACGATATCAGATGACATGATGTCAGCAATAGGCACAACATTAACTGCCGAGAGACGCTACCATTTGTTTGGGGTCGTCTACCACCATGGTTCTCACGCTACAGGGGGACATTATTCTGCCATGGTTTATCATCCTTATATTCAATGTTGGGTTAATGCTGACGATGATAAAGTTGTCCATCAAGATGACAATGCAGTCTTGAAGCACATTCCCGGACGGTCCGCTTACCTTCTTTTCTACAAACGTGTTGCTTAGTTTACCATGATCAGGCCATTTAGTACTCCCTGGTTGTTATCTCCTTTTATTAGAGAACATGATTTTGGTTGAGTGGAAATAATCTGGCTAACCAGGAGGAAGTTATGATAATTTCTTTTAAATTTAATACTATCTTTCCACGGTAGAATGACGACGATTTGTAAAATAATTGCTGCTTGAATTTGAATGCTCTGAAAACTGCTAACTTTGCATCTAATTTACTGTCTCAGCATTTTTATCATGAACTGAAAGTTTTTTAATTTATTGCGAGTGCTAGTGTTTCCCTAGTTCAGAAATGCTTAGTATATGATTAATGATTCCATTATTGTATTTGCTAGTATTTGACTGTCGCGCTAACTTTAAAAAAGTTTAAAGTTAACGATTGTGCCTTCGGAAAACTAAGCAATTTTCAATAAAATCCGTTCACAGTCACATGGATATTAACCAAGCTACTGCTTTAAAAGCTATAACAAAAGTATTTAAAGCTTTCAAAGATTCACATTATATTTAAAATATATATGATAATGTCCAAAGTAAATTTTCATCTTTTATAAAATGTGTGTCGTATTACTTTGGGACTTACATAATCTTCAGTAGTAGCTATTACTATTCAGTGTTGATCGTTTTGACAACATAACGACTGAAACACTATTTACCTTTCGATCCCATGGTAAAAGCTTATTCAATTCAACGAATCCAATGAATGATATAAATTGAAGGCCTTCAAATTGTACGGTGATCATAACCTCTGAACAGTGAACAGGGATGTAACTGGTGGCAGCCTGTCTAGCACGTGACATGTACAATCAGCAGTGGGGGACTCAAGATGGGGGGAACTGGGCCACTCAACCTCCTCCCCCTCCCAACTACGGGGCCAACCCCCCTCCACCCCCTAACTACGGGGTTAACCCCCCTCCACCCCCCAACTACGGGGTTAACCCCCCTCCACCAGTTCATCCTCCTCCACCTAGCCATCCGCCTCCCCAGCCTGAAGAACCTTCAAGTTAGTGCAGGATGATTCTTGATTTATTATTCCACCAGTAATAATAGATTTAACTGCAATTAATAATTATAATTCAAGAATCTTGAGTTTTAGATAAATTATCAATCAGGGATCGGAAAATTAAAAGGTAGTTGCAAATTAGTTAACAATTAACTGATAATTAGTTAATTATAAATAACTTGCAGATGCGGGAGCGGCAGTTGCTGGTGGTTTGGACTACGGAGCAGCCTACGTAAAGAAGTACATGGAGATGTATGGGCAGATGGTGGGCCAGATGATGCCCCCGGTGCCACCTCCAGCCCCTAATGATGAGGCTCCTGCACCTCCTGGCAGTCCTCCTCCTCCCCCTCCTCCTCCCCCTCCTGATGAAGGCCAAGGTATTCTGAAACCTAGTTACACACTTAGTAAGAAAACATTTAGCAGAATCTGCAGACTGTATCCTATTAATCAGATATCATTATGCACATTACACGTTCACATTATATCTTAATCATCATGTTTAGGAGAAGGCGGGCCTAAGCCACCATCCTCCCCACCATCAAGAGGTCCTTTCATGAAACCCTCAGAAAACAACAGCAGACTGCTTGGTTCCAACTCTACTAGGTATTATTTATTTTGCTTTCAATATTCACATTGGTGTTTATTCAACTAATAATGTTGAATTTGTTGTGTTTTGCTTTCTAAAAGTCTGGGCCTGATTCTCAATTTTGTAACTATTATAAACATTCCTCAGTGTAAAAAGGGAATCGCAACCGTTCAGTCAACCTCCAACCGGAGGTCATCCTGTGCAGCAACAAGGTCACTCTGCACAACAACAACAACAAAGCTATAATTACGGGAACCAAGGATATGGACAAGGGAACCAAGGATTTGAAGGTCAAGATTATGGGCAAGTCGACCAGACTTATGAGCAAGGCGAACAGAATTATGGACAAAGCGATCAGAGTTATGGACATCAGCAGTTAGGAAAACGGCGTGCCCCAGACCAAGGACAACTACAAGATAATAAGGTACCGTGTATACAATTTCATTGCAATTTGCACAGCGACAAAGTTATTGTAAGAATTCCTCTTTCTATTGACTATAAAATTGAATGTTAAAACCAAGGAAATGAATGTACATAATTGAGTGTTATGAAATCTTCGTTTACAAACAATTAATTTTTCAGAGGGGTAACTTCAATGAAAGTACGGGTCAGTGGCTGGGAGAGAAACCTATCCACCAGCAAGCAGCCCAAACTTGGCAACAAGATCAGTATGGATACGGAGATACGGAAGGTTGGGGGCAACCTGAACAGAACGTTGGGATGAACCAGCAGCTAGGTGGACAAATTCCGGACAAGAGAGAAGATCCTAACCAAAGGGGTGGTCTGAACCAGAGGGGTGGCCCAAGCCAGAGAGGTTTCGACCAAAGAGGTCCAATCCAAAGAAGTGATCCATATCAGAGGGTAGATCCAAATCAGAGAGGTGATCCGAATCTGCACATTGATCCTAACCAGCGAGGTGGTCCTCACTCTCAAGAAGCAAATCCTGAACAAAGAGGGAGACCATTCAACCAACAACCTCAACTTAATGAACAAAGGAGAAGTTCAAGTAATCCTCCACAGAAATACGAAGAGAGTGTACCTAATCAGTGGGAACAGAATAACCAAGAATGGCAGGATAACAGTCAGGCTGTAGGTGCCAGACCGGATCATGATCAGCGAGGTCTGGGTCAAATGCCTCCCAGAGAAAACATGATGAGAGGACCTCATGGTCACGGTGGTCCACCAGATAGAAGTTCCCCACATAGCGGTTCCCTAGACAGGAATTCACCCCACACTAGTTTGCCAGAAAGTAGTTCACCTCATAGTGCTCACCCTGGTCCAAGTGTTGCACCCCCAAGACCTCCTGTTGATCAAGGTAGAGATTTCCGACGGGGAAAGTCAGAGGAACAAAGCTTTGAAGGAGCAGCTGTCAGAATGCGTCCTCATGGGTTTGACGAGAGAAATGTGAGAGGTCCTCCTCCACAGAGGTTTGACCAAGGACCTAGACACAGAGTAACTGGTCCACGAGGCCATGAGTTTGGTCCCAGATCACGAGGTCCTCCTCCTCAAGAACAAAGAGGCCCTCCAGATGAATTTGGTAGAGGACCTCGTCCAAGGGGACCTCGTGAATTTGGTCATGGGCCCAGACCTAGGGGACCAGGGGGATTTGATGGGACAAGACCAAGAGGACCCCCACCAAGAGGTTATGAAGGAGGTCCAAGGATGCGAGAACCTGCTCCAAGAGAGCGGGCTCCAGCACCTAAAGGCTACGAAAGAGGGCCTCGTCCTCGCAGTAGATTTGATGAAGCTGTCAGACCTCGTGGTCCACCAACTAGAAGCCAGCCCCCTCCCCCCACCAGTACTGGACCGCCATCAAGAAGTAATACTGATCTTTATGAACCCCCCATCCCGACAGGTCCAATAGCGAGCAGACCTCCACCACCAGTAAGCACACTACCTAGATCTAGAGGTGACCATCCTCCAAGGGGCCCCAGAGTTCCTCCTCCAACTAGCACAATGCCCCGTGGATTCAGACAAAGGACTCCGAGACCCGATGGAGCGAGGCCGGTGGGGATGGTGAGGTCACCGAGACCGGTGGGGATGAGGCCATTAAGACCAGAGGGGGCCAGGCCTCCGAGACCAGAAGATGTAGATCCATCATTAAGGAGACCTGTCAGACGGCTACCTGCTGGGTGGGATCCTCCTACTTCTGCCGCTCAACCTACCCCTCCTGAAGCTACTCCTCCCCGATCTACTCCTTCTCCTCATAATAAACCTGAGTCCACTCCGCCACCCCTTACTAGACCTGAGTCAACTCCTCCTCCCAGGTCTAAAGACGAAGTACTTCTGCAAAATATCCGATCATCCGTCGGTGAGAAGATTTATTTAATCATTTTATTGAATTATAACTGATACCTCACAATTCATGGTTCCAATAAATTCGTTGCTGGTTTTACTTTCTGTACAAAAACACTTCCTATGACTCATGATATCACTTTCAGACAAGCCCATTGACGAACTTGAATACAAGGATCTCATCAAAACAGGGCTGCCAGTTTCCTTTGGCAGTACTCACGTCGTTTTAGCTGAAATGGTCAACGAATACAGAAACAATCGATGTAAAGTTGTGAGTTATTTTGTCACTCATTATGTCTTATAAATACAGCTAAATCAAGACAGTAAACTGCTTAACGTAACATAGTCTTAAAGATCATAACCGTACATACAACAGGCTGACGGTCCTACTTGCAATCCAGAGAGGATGGATAAAAGGTTGCCCACAAAGGTTTTAGAAGCCCCGGAAATTACGAACTGGAGATTTGTCGACCCAGAAGGTTTGTTGTTCACATATTACAGATCCCCGGCCCCCCTTCATATAATGGTGACCCCACAGTTGGGTTCAATGACCCTGAGTCGGTCACATTGTAAGATCGTTTTCGCGTACCGCGCGCTGCAACTCTTACATGAAAATGCCAAGTTCTCCCACATTTGATGACCCGCGCGCGTATTTTCCCACGCTAGATCGACAACGTAAAATGCTGGCATGATACCTCTACTTGTAACAACATTTAGAGGTATATAAGGCGAAGTGTGTAAAAGTATCTCTACTCTTCGCATTTTTGTGACATCTTGTTCCTTTCAATCCATGTAGTTTTCTAATTATTGAATGGAAAGAGCTGTCAAAATGGGGAGTTTATTCCCTTAAATGTCACCACATTTAGTATTACGTTATTTTTTGCTCAGAGGAGAAGAAAAACAAGGCCCAGAGAAGAATTATCCAACCACCTGCTGATCTGCTGAAGAAGAAAGAGGAAGAGAAAACTGGTGAGTAGTTAACAGCGACTAATCTGGTAAATAAAGTTCCATTATTCTAGATCAGTTTGTTAGGTTACCTTAGGGCCAATAATTTTGGTTCACAATAAATTTGGTTACCATAATTTTAGTCACAAATTTCGCAAATTTTTAGTCTACAACAATTTTAGTCACATTTTTCGACTTTTCGAGACCATTTTCCATTCCATTTACCTTAAGAACGACAAATTTAGTCTACCCCGTCTGAGCATTACAGATTAAGCTGCACTGCATTACTCAGGAATTTCAATAACATCAGATCCAGAGTTTGTGACTCTGTATCACTAAGTTCTTCAGTACACTGTTCAGTTTCTTTTTCACCCTTTTTTGACTTTACCATTTTTGTCGGTACGACGTAGTTTATGTCGATATGATCCTTCAGCCGTTTCAACAGAGCATGCATTAGGATGGATCGATTAAAAATGTAATGTCCAAGAGGAGCTCTAACCCTTTAAGTGCAATAGGACTTTGGTACGGTTTTGTGCAGTAGGAACGGTGATTTCATATATTAATTATAAACAATGTAAGCTTAATAATATTCATGTCATATTTGCTGTACTGAAATTTTGGTCTGCTTTAAAATTAGTCACCGAAAAATTTAGTCTCATGAAATTTGGTTTACAATAATTTTAGTCAAAAGCTTGACTAAATTTATGGTAGACTAAATTTGTCGTTCTTAAGGTACTGTTACATATCGGCTTGAACCGAAACATTGCACCCTCTTCTTGTTTATTGGGTCATTTTTATGCGTCGATTAAAAATGTTTTCCAATCATTGATGCTGATTTAATTGTCCATGATTTAGTCACGAATTGAGGACGCAGACGCACCTAGTGCAGCTGACGACGATTAACACATGTTTATTGAAAGCTTCTACAAGTTAAACTATCGTATCATTTATATGTTTTTAACCCAACTCCGTTCAGTTCTAGTGAAGCTACATATAATTGATATAGTAGACAAGTTAAGTAACCAGTCGCATACAAAGATATTATAAAAATAAGTCTAGACACTCATCAAAAGATCGCATAAGTCCAATGCTGTGAACAATCTTGTGGGTGTCTTTGTTTTCGTCATTACATCTTTTACTTAGATTTAGTCATCAATTTAGAATCATGAACAGGAAATATCGAAATAAGTTAAACTCTGGGAATCAGAAAAAAAACTAAAATAAGAAAATACCCAAAATACTATCACAGTCACACATACTTGAAAAAGCACATTAAATATAATCGAAAACAGAATTATAATCGATTTACTGAACGTCACGTTTTGTCTCAAGTAAACGAAAACATTGTTTGATCAAACAATACTTGCGATGCGAATTAATTGTGTATATTCATTATTCAATAGGCTGGGATCAGTACGTAGCCTATTGAATAGTAAATTGTAAAAAAGAGTAACATGACTAGAGTAACATTCAACGAAATAGCACAGCAAATCTTCAACCTCAAACTTTTTTAAATGGTCACCATTTTCTAATTGAAATGCTCTTCTACCGAAATATAATAGTAAAATACGCGGAGATAAAGAGCAGGAAACCAAGAATTATATAGTTAAAAGCTCTTGAGAATGTATTTATGTACATTGTAGATTTGGAAACAACTTTGAAAATAAAATAACCAAATCTTAAATCTATAAATCCAAAAGATAAGTTCATCAGTTTTAAGTCAGTGGTTCAAAAACCGTGAAGAGTAGTTCGGTACGATTCGAATTGAGAATGTTAATGATTTTTGCATGTATAAACTGTCGAATAACATATGATATAGTATTCATCATATTTCTGCAGTCATCGTAGAGGGTTGTACATTGTTTTCTCTTTCCTCTTTGCACAAACATCCCACGAATTTGCCCCACAAGGTCGTAACGTGTAATCTCATCTCCTTCTTCCTGGTAAGATAGACCACTGGGTTGCAGGCTGAATTGAGAGGAAGAATGATGAACTCAGATAACCAAGACAGTTCTTTCAATTGCCGAGAGCTCCATGAAAATTTGTTTCGGAGCCCACTATTAAAGACCAGAAAACCGACATTGCAGACACAGTAGATAACTGATAAAATGCCCACTGTAACTGCAGCTTTTCTCTTCCATTTCTCTGTTTGTGACGATTTTGATAGACAAAGCTTTCCCAAGGTGATAACGTTCAGTAAAACCATAATCACAAAAATACTAACTAGTATACCTATTTGCATATCATCTAAGGAATTTCGAAGGCCAAATAATTTCAATTGTATAATTACTGTTGTCAAGGCAATGATTACAGTATAAATTCCAGATGAGAATTTAACCGCCGTCCAATTTATAATGTGGAGGGGGAATATCAAATGTATTGTCCTAACAGCTGCAAGTAAACAAGTTAAGTAACCAGATGCTAACACCGATAGTCTTATAAAAGGTTTGAAGAAACCCATAAATGCAGATGGCACAAACACACAGACGAATAGATCACATATGTTCAAAACTGCAAACAATTTTGTAGTGGGATTGTCCGAGTTTCTCGTTAGCCTATTTGCTCTGATTTTGCTGATGAAGTGCGATAGAGACAACGTGTTCGTAATTGTCCCGAATACTAATATCATTGTCATAAGAATTTGCGCTGTCGTTCTGATACCTTCGGTCAGGTAAGCTGAGATGTTTCTGTCCATGTCCATGTTGCGGTTTTCTCTCACAGTTTGCTGCACAAACTGCTGTGATAATATTGTGTCTTGACCTGTTAAGAGTTTAAATTAGCTTAATTTTGTTAAACTATCATTTTAGCCAGGCCAAATATGAGCGTAGAAAACGAAATTAACGGGGGAAATCACGAGCATCAACACAATGGAATTGGAAGGATAATCAGAAAGAACGGTCGCTCGCTAGAAATAAAATTGGAAGGCTGCTCAAACATGATTACATGAGATGAGATGAATTGAAATGACATAACATATACCATTTTTATCCCGCTTATACTAACAATAGAGAGCACAATAGAGAGCACAATAGAGAGTTTTAAACTAAATTCACAACTACAATTAAATACATTTATTGAGGACATTATGTAACGAAGCCTTTGAAGAATGAAGAAGCCATGTGGGCGAAACGTCGGCAATAACTTGTGTTACTCAGAGGAGATTAAAGCCAATCTCAATTTTACTTCAAAATAGAGAGCACTGTTAATAATAGCTCTCAAAGGAGAGGGCATATCAATCAGTTGGTCAGAAAGCTTCATAGAAACGGGGAGCAAGGTCTGGCAAACTGTTCCTCTATAAGGCATCTAACTTTCTAGCTATTGTGTAGAAATTATAGTAAGTTTTCCAAACTGGCTCCCCGGGGGGTTTCCATTGGTGAAAAATGTTTTTAAATTTGGAAACTCGATTCACCATAAAAATCATTCACCATTTCTCACCATTGGAAACCATTGAAAACCATTGGAAACCCCCCGGCTACCCTAGGCTTGCATAATTTGTCAAAGAGGCCTTTAATTCTGTACGATACAGAGCGAAAATTCTATCCTAGGACCAGTTTAAACCTTTTAAAATTGCATTGAAGTTTAGTTAGACAAATGAAAAAGTTCTAAATATATAGTGTAACGAAAAAAGGGACGAATGGTGTAGCTTAATTAGCTGATCCAGTAATAAATTAGTTTGGGATAAACAGCCCTGTGATAGATGAGCTGCCCCCCCCCCCCCCCCCCCCCCCGGGTGACAAACCTGGCTACTGTCAGGCTGATTATTTGCTATTAACAGTCGAGAGTTGCTTTTATAAACAACGCTTATACTACAGATCTTTAGAAATGGTAGGCCTTGACATGATGGAATTAAAAGCAATTCAGAATTGAAGAGATACATTGCAGCTGTTCTGAGTAGCAGTGCCTTTACCTACGATGAGTTCAAACTATCGGAATGTTTAAGTTATTTAAACATCATTATACCTTTTACCTTACTTATCATACTTGAAAAAGCACAATAAATATAATCGAAAACATCACGTGTTATCAATGTTTAAGTTATTTAAACATCATTATACCTTTTACCTTACTTATCATACTTGAAAAAGCACAATAAATATAATCGAAAACATCACGTGTTATCTCAAGTAAAAAGAAACATTGTTTGATCAAACAATACTTGCGATGCGAATTAATTGTGTATATATTCATTATTCAATAGCAGGATATAGGCTACGATCAGTATGTAGCCTATTGAATTGTAAATAAAAGTTGGTGTCTCCTTCTGACTAGACTAGAGCAACATTAAACGAAATATCACAGCAAATCTTCAACTGCCAAATAGTTAAAATGGTTACCAGTTTCTAATTGAAATGCTCTTCTACCGAAATATAATAGTAAAATACCCGGAGATAAATAGTAGAAAACCAAGAATTATTTAGTTTTCAACTTTTCAGAACCTGTATGTGGACATGTTCAAACCTGGTTGGTGGTTTTGTTTCACTGCCAAAATGGGCGATTTTCTCATTTTTACAATAACTCCATTAATAATTACTTGATGGTCTTGAAACTTTCAGAGATGATTATAATTGTGATAACAAATAGTCTCAGGTCATCGGCTATGAATAATATTGTAAAATGGCCCAGTTATGTTGAAAAATGTAACATTTGGTTACACTTTTCAATGGCTCAGCCAATTATTAAATTTTAAAGATTCTTGCTTCACAAAAATGTACTTTAGGTATTTGCTTAGCTGTGGAATGAAAAAAGGCCCACTTTTGATTACATAAAAAAGCCCAAAATGGACATTTTGTAACATCTTGTTTTCATGATATCTTTATAGTTTGTTACAACCACAGCTAGTGTAGGATATGTATTTAACTCTCAAACCAGGTTATTAGTGCAGCAATTCTTGTATAAAGGCATTACCACAATCTTGGTATTATATGGTTCATAATCAATAAAAGGCCCATTTCTTTGAATAACGTAACATGGTTACAAATGAGTATGTTATACAGAGTTGTTTGATCTAGTATTGGTTTTAAGTTGGTTGATGCATTAAAATAGAGACATGAAACAACTTAACAAATTTTAAAAAATGATAATTGGGACCAAATTATTGAATTTTGTAACAATTTAAATGTAATGTAATTTAAATTGACAATCCGCGACAGAATGCGGTAAATTTAATCAAATGAATATAGCTAATTAGATTAAAGGTTGGATATTTAAAAACTTTTAATTTATATATGAAATTGTATAGAAAATAGAAATTGGGCCCTATATATTGAAATTTGTAACAATAAAATGCCAGGTCACGAGTTTATCAACTGAAATGGCAGAGTTCCATGTCCATCTATGGACTTACAAAATTCAATGTTTTGGGCCCAAGTACAAAATATGGTCAATAATATGGTTGATGGAACCCTTTAAATGACCTAGGCAAACTGGTCTGAACTTCAAAAACTATAATATAGCTTGTCTAACACCCCTCACACTAGGATACATACTATATATACTATACTCTATACATTTATTTTCTAATGTTACATTATTCAAGTTCCGCAGCCATTTTATCAAATTTATACGAATAAGGATTGCTTTACAATTCTGTATGAGAATCTAAAAACCATGTTACCAGTACAAGAATAAATTGAACATTCCAGATATGAGCTTTGTAGTCAGAACATAAATATGTTACAAAATTCAATGTTTTGGGCCCAAGTACAAAATTTGGTCAAGAATATGGTTGATGGAATCCTTTGTGACCTGGAAAAACTGGTCTGAACTTCAAAAACTATAATATAGCTTACCTAACACCCCTCACACCAGGGTACATACTCTATACACTTACTTTCTAATGTTACATAATTCAAGTTCCGCAGCCATTTTATCAAATTATATGAATAAGGATTGCTTCAGAATTTTGTATGAGAATCTAAAAACCATGTTACCAATACAAAAATATATTGAATATTCCAGATATGACCTTGGCAGTGAAAACAAAAATATGTTACAGAATTCAATGTTTTGGGCCCAAGTACAAAATTTGGTCAAGAATATGGTTGATGGAACCCTTTGTGACCTAGAAAAACTGGTCTGAACTTGAAAAACTATCAAGAAGCTTCTCTAAAAACCCATTGAAAAAGTGTAACATAGAAATGTGTTACAAAATTCAATATCCAGGGCCCCCAACTAAACTGCTATATCTCAGGACCTGAATATGTTACAAAAATTCTGATTCAAGGGTGCCCTCAGTCAAAGGGTCTAGTTTTTGTCAGTAGTTTCAGTTTTTCTTAAAATGTTACAGATTTCAATCTGGGGGCCCAGAAGTAATGAGTGGGAAAAATGAAACAAAACCACCAACCAGGTTTGAACACGTCCATGTACATTGTACATTGTAGATTTGGAAACAACTTTGAACATAAAATAACCAAATCTGAAATCTATAAATCCAAAAGATAAGTTCATCAGCTTTAAGTCAGTGGTTGGCATGTATAATCTCTTGAATAACATGATCATATATAATAGTATTCATCATCGTAGAGGGTTGTACATCGTTTTTCTTTCTGCATAAACATCCCACGAAATTTCAGGATTACCGACGGTGCCATCTTAAGTTAGGATAAAAATAATGTAACCTAGATCTGTAACCTATCTGTATCTTAACCGTCACATTTTTCAGAAGACGTGAAGCCAACAATCGATCCGGAAACCGATACAGTTATCCAGCCCCCCACTGAACCGGTCCCAAAACGGCAGATAGTACCGCCACCAGATTTAGCTCCTAAAAAGAGGGTTATAGCTCCGCCAGCGGACCTCCTTCCGAAACGAAGTATATTACCACCTCCCGATCTCTTGCCAAGACGAATAATCAGACCACCCCCAGACCTTGCTCAACAGGGTTAGTGGCACCGGAACTTGTTATATTTTGCTACTTCATGTGGTTAATATAAGACCACCATTTGATCTGATTACAATATTTTGTTGAGTAGATTGAGAAATACTGTGATTAAATAGTGGCGTGGATAGCGAGGGGGTGATGCTAACTGAATTGCAAAAATATCCTGATTTAAGGATTAAAGATATTTCATCCTTCCGTATTATATCAGATAATTTGATATTGAAGAAGGAATAAACTTAACAGTACAAATATCACATAGTTTTATTTTTCAGGTCGTGAAGCACAAGGGTATGGGTTTAACTATTATTTCATAAGATTTGTATCTAAATACAGTATATTCATGTCATTTCATTTAATTATATAATTCATATCTACTTCATTGTTAACAGATCAATAATCGTTTAAGCTAATGCGATTCTTTCAGGGAACAGGGTAGACCCCCTTATGTCAATAATGGTAGACCTCCATTTGACGAAGGTATATCACCTCGACCAACTATACCTCCATTTGACGAAGGTAGATCAGCTAGACCAGCTAGACCTCCATTTGACGAAGGTAGATCACCTCGATCAGCTAGACCTCCATTTGACGAAGGTAGATCACCTCGATCAGCTAGACCTCCATTTGACGAAGGTAGATCAGCTAGACCAGCTAGACCTCCATTTGACGAAGGTAGATCAGCTAGACCAGCTAGACCTCCATTTGACGAAGGTAGATCACCTCGACCAGTTAGGCCCCCCTTCGCTGGGTCTGATGACAGAAAACCGCCCTATGGTGTTGAAAGACGACCCCCATATGGGGACCCTAATAAACCTCCGTATAATCGGGAGGAGAGACGACCTTATGAGGCCGATGTGCGGCCTCCCTACGGTAGTGAACAGCGACCACCATACGGTGGACCAGCTAGGCCACCTTTTGAAGGAGACAGGGCACCTCGTGGGGGTGATATACCTCCACCCTTCAGAGACGTAGGACCACCTTATGACAAGGAAGGAAGGGACCCTCATGGGCGAGAAAACCACAGAGCTCCACCTGAAGTAAGAAGGCCTACCCCACATGGCGATAGACGTGCACCGCCTTACGACAACCGACGGGGACCGCCATTCGGTGAGGAACAGAGCAGACCGGGCTTATCTGACAGGTATGATGACCACAGGGGCAGGCCCCCTCCTGGGGACCCATATCACAGAGACCCCCCAGATAGGGGCTATCATGACAGGGGCCATCAACCCGCTCCACCTCCCGACTCTCACACACCGCATGAGTATGATAGACACCCTCCTCTTTATGATAACCATTCTAATCAGCCTAATGTTCAAGACGTTTTAAGTAAAGTTATGAAAGCTGCCAAAGCCGGAGAGATACCTGGGGTTGTCTTGCCTCAAGAACAAGGTGGGCATTGATTCTATACTGTTAATTTATACCACGTACTTGTGCTAAATGATATATTTTATATTCTTCTAGTTGCATCGGAGTTAAGTTGGTCGCTCAGGATTTAGTTTGTAGTATACATTTCTCACATTAGGCACAATGAATTTTTTACGTATGGCGTGGTTTCATTTGTTTACGATACGTTTCAGAGTTGACTCTTGAAATTTGAATATATTTTGAAGATTGTTATTAAGTTTTTATGACATAAGTATAACTTTTGATTTTATCTGTGTCGGATTATCATTGTTATCGTTCGTGTTATTCACAATTAGCTATATTCGTAGTAATTTTAGTTGTTCGAGAGAAGCTTTTTCAAATTCCAAACCTTTCTAAATTTCATGATTCTTGTTTTTTATGAACATTTTTCTCAAACATTCACGAAAAGAGTTTTACCTGATCTAATTTCAGCACAGGATGTCCTCGATGAGTTAGTCGCTGGCACAGTTGATCAACTATCCAATGAAATATCTCAACAAATCACTAATGCTCTCCTCTCTGGACTCACGGACGACACCAGATCGTCCGTCCGGAGAGACTCGTCCGATAGGAGGGACTCTGATCGTTACAACCGACCCGAGTCCTCTCGGAGTAGGAAGAGAAGTTCGGAGTCCCGAGAGTCTCGTCACGAGAGAGCGAGTCCGGGACATAGTAGGCGGTCTCCGGATAGGAGGCGGGAACCTTATCGACCATCTCCGCCTCGGTGGGTCTTCATTCAAACTTTCATCCTTCGACCTTAACGATACTATTGGAAATTATAGGAAATATACTTCTAAATTCTGTATTTTGGGGATACGATGTCGTCTGTAATAATCATATTTAAAGAATAAAAAGAGTTTATCGGAGTGACTAATACGATAACGTTGTTTCAGATCAAGACATCAGGCACCACGACCACTCCAACCACCACAATCTGCTCCCAGACCCACTGAGGCTGCTCGAAGGCCCATGGAGGCTGCCCCTAAAGTGCCTGCTGAGGACATACTCTTCCCTCCTGGCCGCAACAATCGTCCTGAAAAGGTTCGTTGTTACTTGACTCCCGAACATACTCATCATCTTGTAAATCCTGGTCATATTATTCTGGGCATATTCCATTTTCGTGAATTATCTTTATTTGCGTTTGTTCGTTATTCAGACTGTTAAGAATCTACCAAAGTTGCTAATATTTTCAAATCTCTCCGCAGATAGTGATAATATTAAGGGGTTTACCTGGCAGTGGGAAATCTCCTTTGGCTAAAAAGATAAAGGATGTGGAAACTGAGAATGGGGCATCAGCTCCAAGGATCCTATCCTTGGACGATTACTTCCTAAACGAGGTTTGTTGATGTTTCATATGACATATTATCAATATTTATTGAATATTACCCCTACAGAGATTTGGAAAAGTCTAGAATTAAATATCTAAGAATCTTAGACATTTAAAAGTGTCACTCCAAACCAGACTAACGAGTACGAATACGAAGTAGAACTCGAGGAGAGCTACAGAGCCAGCATGTTCAAAGCATTCCAGAGGACCTTGTCAGATGGCTGGTTCAAGTTCATTATCATAGGTAATTTAACTACTTAATTCTTCGGCAACGCTTGCTGTCTTATTTCAAGTATTAGTTTTAACACTGAGCCATGGAACTACAGGGTAATACGGTAATTTCTATGGATTGTTAAATACGTCCACGAATACGCCATAATACGCCGTAATACGCTGATTTGTCAAAATTAAAAATTACTAATTTTTTGCGCGCACGACACACCTTTTGGTAATACGTCAATTTTCGAGGATTAATACGTATTCGTATTCCAATACGTATTCCCTCCTAATACGTATTTAACAACCTTGCTTCGTTATGACCCCTCGGATTATGGTTATAAAAACAGCCTTTTTTTACAGACGCAGTGAACGCAGTATCAGAGCACTACACCCAATATTGGAGCGCTGCTAAATTGCAAGGGTTCCAGGTGTATCTGGCGGAGATCAACAGTTTTCCTGAACACTGTGTAACCAACAGTCTACACAAGCGCTCCTTACAGGATATCAATCAGGTTTGTTGGTATTTACTTTCGTAAATACTTCGTGGAAAATTAACCCTAGCGTAGGTTGATAACCAAAAGCAGCACTCCTTCGCACTATGTTCTTATCTCGGACTAAAATACAGCTTTAAGTATAAGATTTAAAAATTCAATTCGTTTGGATTGGTTCTTCTGAATGGTTTTTTGCTCCAGATTCATCAGAGATGGGAAGCAACCCCAACAAACTACATCAGATTAGACTTACGAGGAATCATACAAGGCACCACTATTGACGAGGTTACAACTTTCGATCCTCATTTTGTTTTTATCTAATGAAAATAATTAAAAATGATTATTTGAAGCACAATTTGTTGGCGAGCGGAGTTATGTTTTTTGAAGTTCATCTGATTTTTGTTTTTAAAAAGGTCGAAATGGATGACAGTGACATGGATGGCGAGGCTGTTGAAACCCCTGTAACTGTGAGTAGATCAAAACTTAATAGACACCACATTTATAATCCTTACATCAGTTCGCATAGTTTTTATAACATGTAACAAATGTTTTGTTGTGAACAAAATTATTCAATATAGTAATTAAAATGTTGATTATTTTACTGCACCAATTTTATGTTTTTTACAATAACCCTCACGCGCTGTCTGACACGTATTCAACTACTATTTTTTGATTTGCGTCTCGAAATCTGGGCCATCTCTTCAAGAACCCCTGATAACTAATTGTTGCGGAGTGATGAGAGGATGGAGTTATTGGGTTGGTTTTGGGGCCTGTGTCGGATAGGCTTCATAACTTAACCTGTTCAGAAACCTCCAGTGAAACAGTGCCGCTGGGAGGCTCAAACAGAGCACGACGAACAATCCCTCAGTAAGTTTAATCTCTAGGAACGTTCCTTCATTTGTGTGTTCATTGTGCAAAGAATTGGTTTTTTTAAATGCCAGGTTTTGTTGGAGGAGCTGAGTATAATTATCTAAGTTGTTGCGGCTGTTTGGTGGTGTGGATAACAACTTTTTTGATAATCTCAAAATTGTTTTTAAATAGAATTAAATATTTCAACGATGTTTCTAAAATCTGGTCGTGTACTCTTAGTCTTGACATGACAGAACATATTTTTCCATATTTCTAGTCGTTTTTAACATCTAACAGATTTAAGACACGTATACAAAATTTTGAAATCTCAACAATTTCTAATCTCGTTTATATTGAGTCGTGAGGATAAAATCTATATATTGACTAACAATGACATTACTTTAAGAACTCCAATGAATAAAATGGTCATTTTGAAAACGGGCAGTTTTGTTTATGAATCATAGTTCCTACTAAACCCACCTCTCCCGGGCCTCCCCCACAACTAACACCAATCTCCTTCCCCCCACTACCCCCCCGGCCCCATTACCTCCCTCCTCACTAACACGATAATTTTCCCCTCAGACCAGCTGGACGGTTTGAAATCTAGTTCACGGAAAGAGCGGAGTCCGAGCCCAGACGTTATGGAGCAGATAAAACTGATGAACAGGAAGAACAAAAACGATGGAAAAAAACATGTTAGTATTTTTATGATTCCTCCGAAGCCATATTTCTGAAATAATTCTTACGCGACTCCTCCAAATCCTAACTTTTTAGTAGATCGTTATTGGTAATGTGTAATATAACAGGATGGTTCAGCGCTTTTTTAACTCACCCATATCGCAGGTGCATTGGGCGGATCTAGTTGAAAGAGAAAATGCGGAGAAGCGCCAGAAGATAGGGTTCCACATTGGTGGAGGTTGGAACCAGGAGCTTCCTGAACTATACTCCGCTTCCAGAGACAAGTCTGTGAGTAAAACATGTGTTCTTTAGAGAATGGAAGTTGTTCGATCAGTGATCGTGCAGTGCTCAACAGTTGACCATGGGTTTCAAATTAATTCAGCAAAAAATAGGCGCTTATTTGATTATTTTCGTTTTTCAGTGAGGTACACTGATATGGACGCCTACATTCTCTTAGTTCTATCATCATGTCAAATAACTGTCGTCTCACATTATATGTTGTCTCTTGATATCAGATAATATGTCATTCTTGGACTATATTATAGGTATTGTCTTGATAGAATATCAAACGATTGACTGAAGACTTTTATAAATATGAGAGCCATAGGTGATGATGGTGATGTATTCGTTTGAGATCCAGAATACTAATTTCTAAGGACATGCGCTAGAGTCATATTAGTGGAGTTAATGTGTAATACTAATATGGAAAGCGATAAGAAATGTGCAAATTTGTAATTGCATGCGCTTTCTCAAATTCGCCAGAAGATTTCCATATCAAGTTTATACAACGGATTTAACTTCACATTTTTATATGTTATTTATCATGTTAAAATGGGCTTTAAAAGTTCATTATTTTAATTTTTACAAATGATTTACTTCAGCGTTTTAATTTGTGTATCTACTGCAACTACAAGTGACAATTGTGATAATTACCTTATAATAATGTTCATAAACAATAGAGATTCGGCGGAATGACAGACTGAGCGCCGTCCAGTAATAAAAAAGTGGCGTAACTTTGTCTCCCCTTTTTTGGCGCCCCTCCCTAAAATTGAACAAATTAGGTGATTTTAGAGGATACGCCCTTTCAAATCTCTAAAAAAGTGTGTTTCTAGATCAAAACGCGCAGTTTTGCTACTAGTAGTACTACTACTAGTAGTAGTAGTCTAGTAGTACCTCAGTTAAGTTTTTCAAAATTGTCCCCATGTTATCCGTGCGTTATTAAGTGTCAACTTTGCATAAGCTTAAGGGGGCATACACCAAAACAGTGGTTAGTGCCGTCCAACCCAAATGACCTCTAGTCAAAAAGCTGAAAAAAATGGTTAAAATAAGCCTGAAAAGGACAATTTCAGCTTTTTGACTTTAGAAATTTATAACAGTGTTATTAACACACCAGCCTTTTTAGATACGATATCAAGATTTTACACACACCTTGAAATAGATGTGAATAGACGGCGAGCAAAATTTCAACCCGATACCGCAAGAAATGATTAACTTATAGTTATAGCCTCTCCATGAAACAAATTGTGTTTTTCCGAAAATTCCACTCTAACCAGGAAATGCCCGATTACAAAAATAGTTATTCTCGAAATAATTTTTGGTGTGGAAACGGTGCGCTAGATGGTCACTGAACTGCCTATGAGGTCATTTGGGTTGGACAGGTTTGGTGAATGCCCCCTTAAACTTAAAGTGTCTGTTATTTTGTTAAATTACCGAGCACCCTTAGCCACTGGTAAACTGGTAAGACACCTAAATTAAGCAGTAGCCTGTTAGAGAGACAACATTATCGTTTAAAGGGGAGCATCGTGAATAATAAATAATAATTAATAAAGCATTGTTAGCTGACAGACCCTATTAATATAATTGGTGAAATTATACTCAGTACGTTACCCTCAAGCCTTCTAGGTTGCTCTTAGTGGATAAAAATGGTTATCGCTCATACCTTGCAGCAAATAATAATCAAACCTTTTACAGCTTTGAGTCCTACATTAAGTTACATTATTGCCATCTCTCCTGGTAGCACGTTATCTAGTTGCGATGCCAAACACCTCGATAAGTTCCTGCTCGCACAAGCAAAGATTTCGATTCTCCGCTTCCCCCTTTAATCACATAATCCTACATAAAACAATTAAATGGGTAAACAAGGAAATGGAATAAAAATAAAACAATTACAGCAATTCGGAAAACCGCATGAGCAAGGCTCTTCCATTTCATACTCCTACTATTCACACTGTAACACTTAATCTACAGCTGTACCAGTTCGTTTGCTTTTAAGTTTATCAGAGAGAAATTCAAATACCACTTGTAGGTCAACATTTCTTCTGCAGCATCCATTGAGGACGGTTTCAGCTGTCATTTATAAATGTTGTATGATTAACGAAAGGCCCGTGGTCACAGGGAGAAAGATAAAAGTATACTTTTTTGAGTTTTTGATAGTCAGTTTTTACCGCATCAAAACATATCCACCCCAACCGAAGATGCCTTCTTCACAATTAGTACTCTACCTAGACCTATTTAACGGGTGATACTCGTAAAATATCTGTTCCATATATTGGAAGGACCGTTGACGAGTCCAACTCGGCGCGCGTCCTGGTAGGTTGTAAACCTACAAAGACCTATTACCTGTCACTCGCACCTGTAAGTCAACCCCTTCCCTTTGTATTTGACTGCATGTGCGAACTGGGCAATGAATTTGCATATGTAACGACGTAACGTTTGAATAGACACGCTAACCACAAACCAACAACATACAGTTTTGTATTCAAATTATTCATGCTCTCATCATATCAAGGGCGGAGTCTTTGGAGTCGTTTCCAATTATGATAATTTGCTAACCCGTAAAGCTGACTCCTAATCGACCAACCTATAATCATTGCATTGTCCACATCTAATGATATTCATATACTCCAGGAAATCGTGCAGTGAAAGTATCATGATGCAAATGCAATGGGCAATTAGGAGGAGCCCCAAAGTGTTACCCCTTTGTGTTCAGTCTGACAATTTCATCTAAAATCTCCAGTCTAGTCTCGACTGATTCAACTTTCAAATAAGCTTATGAATCCCATGCATCTCAAAACGTTTTACAAACTGTTGCTCTGAGTAGCCGGGTAACTCAGTCTCACCTCTCCATTGACGGATATGTTACTCGTCTAAATTTCTTCGAAGTATCGCGCGCCACTTTCTTCTCGAAATGGCAAGTGCTACGACCATTAACAATGGTCAAACCCCTCCATCACAATGATGGTACTTTTTTTCTTCACATGTGAAAGATTCTCCATCACCATACCTTCAGTTGACCATTGTTAATGGTCTGGCCCGGCGCGCGCTACTTCGTAGCACGTGCCATCGGGCCATTTCGAGAAGAAACAAGAAAGCGGCGCGCGCTACTTCGAAGAAATTTAGGCGAGTAACGTCCGTCAACATACCAGCAACGACATTTATCGTGCAGTTTGTCTCCAGGCCACGTTTTGGAAACCTTGCAGTCATTCCATCAGCAGCAAATCAGTCACTGTATGATAATTCTTTTGGCTTTGCAGTCATAGGCCCAAATTTGTGGAATCACAATGATGGTCAACTTCTTGTAAGAATATAACAAGACGATGAATGCGGAAAACTATAAATTTCATTTTGTAGCGCGATGCACTACTGTGTACTGGGCCGCGCCGCGCATCAAATAATTCTTCTCGTGTCTCGGTAGATCGGCAAAATGAACCATGCTACCACTAAACTGCAAACTGGGCCTTGCCGAGCTTGGAGCTGCGAATGATTGACATTGCATCGTGAGTCAAATTTCATTTTATGCGATTTTTTCTTGTTCCTACATTGGCCACTTTTGACTCTGAGCAATTCACAATAAAGTAATAATATATGCTCGGTTAATAAACGTCAAAATTATGCCGCTAAATGCTAATATGTCAAAAAAAGCACAATTTTTATCTGTACCAATATCAATAAAAAAAATATCCTCAACCTCAAATGCAAAATGAATGTGTCCCTAAAAGTAAAAGCATATGCAAGTTATGCAACTCCCGCAAGTTATGCAACTCCCGCGATCCCATCCCTAACTAATATTTCTTTTTGCAGCTTCCTTTAATTGAGGAGAGTTCTTTGAAAAATCACGCAAATTTACTTTAAACTCTATACTGCTTTTCTAAATATTTGTTGATTGCGTTTCTAAATATTTACTGATTGAATCTACCTTCAATTCAGAATTGCTTCGTGACCCCACTACTCACTAGGTGCAAACTGGTACATGGTAGTGGTAACAAATAAGGACTTCCATGACAGTTTGAATTAAACATCATGGTAACCATGGTAACGCGCACTTGCAAAGATGATTAGAGCAGCATCATTATCTTCTTTGACTTGATGAGATTCTTTTCAGTTTGCATTACATTTTCACGATGTCAATCCTTCGCATTTCGCCGATTTGCATAAGATGGTGGTTGTGAGAAGCATTATTGGATGCGCGCGCGACCCAGTAGTGCATCGCGCTACATTTACAACATTAAATTTTAATTTGCTATATCTTTGGTAATAATTAGTATTTTTGGATCTGTAAAACATAAAAACGGACTATCAGAATTTATCATTAGCTCCAAGTTCAATCGTGTGACAACAGGGTTTTTAGCCTGATACCTCTATTATAATTCAGATATTTTAGGCGGTGCACGATAAAAATAAACTTGCTCGGATTTTCAAAATTTTTGTACCATCGTTTTCTAGAGACTGTGAGAATTTTCACAGTACCAAATTTATCATACCTTTTTGGAATTATCAGTGAGTTTCGCCTAGGTGCCATATTTGATGGTGCGCGGCTTTTGGAGCAAAATTAGGTGTAAAAGTCGCGTAATTTGACGAAATTCGTTGATTTTTGTCGTATTATTCTGTCATATCTTCGGTTCCTGAACATGAATCATGCTGAAAATTTGTCAGAACCTTCCAATTATACTTAACTACCGAACCTAATTTAGTTGGGAGAGATTGGCCTTGATTAAGAGGTCTAAAAATGACAAAATAGGTATAAATTCGTTGATAACTCAAATTCTGAGCATCGAAATTGCTCAAACTAAATTAGGTTCAGTAGAACATAAGTGTTTACGTAAGCTGACCAAATTTCAACAAAATTGTTATATGGGAAGTATCATAACTTTTCGATTGTTTCCAAAATAATGTGCTGGCCGAAATAAGAGCTAAAAAACCATTCAATGGTCAGCGCGCGCGTCTTATTGTCGATGGCGCACTGCCTAGATATTTCTGTGTTTCACCGAACGTGCAATCAATAATGCACGTGCAAAAATGATTGGTGCAGCGTTATAATCTGTTTTTTTCCATTGTTTTGATAACTTTGTTTTCAGTTTGCATATATCATAATGTGTCATATTTTAATCAGCTAAATCATCACGGTTATGATCGATATACAATATAGATATTGCTTGAATTTGCAAAACTGAACATCACAAAATAAGATTAAGATTGTCTCTTTGATCTTTCCGGCCCTAACAACGTTGGAATAGACACGTTTAGTACTGTACTAGCGCAGCCAACAATATATATAATTTTAAATCCCGGAGGATTTTGAAACACAAAACGCCTGCGCCTCGCACCTAGTAGTAGTTAGGAACCGACTAGATATCCGGCTGAATCCGGATCCGGCCGAATATCCGGCTTTAATATATGGTTCCGGCTCCGGTCCGGTTTCAGAAAATTTTGCCGGATATTTCTTTTCTCCAAAAAAATGTATTTCTAAAATCTTGAAATTGGAAATGCATATTTTTCGTCACATTTTATGTTTAACTCGAATCTTTGAAAAATCAAGAATGTTTTGACTAAGAGCGGAATTCAAAAAACCGAAAAAATATTTTCGGATAATAATGG